AAACCATGCTCACTCCCAATTTGTCCATTGCCTGTAATTTAACTCCCGGCGTCGAGCTGTCAATGTCATGATCAATCAATGCTAATTAACTGCTAATGGCTTCCAATTGCCCTTTAATAGCAACACAGACAGCTAATTGCTAATATATTTGGTTGGAATAAGTAAACTTAAGACTGAAGCTAATTCAGCCTCGGAATCAGTCAGTCCTGTATGTCAACTTTACCTTTTGTAATATGACAGCTGCACATTCCAATCCCCATATGATTCAACTGCTTGTTACACTGAAGGATTTCCCTGCATTTGCCATCACCGCAGTGTTGTACAAATGAAGGAATCGGCACGTTGGAGCAGAGGAAAATGTGGAACAGTTGATGAAGCAACATCTCCCTGGCTACAGATACGATCAAACCAGTAAATGGATGGTCTTAGGATTCACTTTGAAACAAAACAAGAGCCATTAAACGCGTTCAATTTCAATTCTCTCGATAAAATATCTTAAAACATAACAAAACGTTTTCACATTTCACTAACTTTCCATGAATTCTAGATGATTACATTTTTACTTGATCAGTTTCAAATATACCTTTCAAATAACCCGAACTCAAATACTGGTATCTCATAAAAGTATTAAAAAGTACTTGAAAAAACAACATCTATAGGCATGGATCAGGAAGAGTATAATCAATTAAGAAACACTGCTTATAATGTTTAAAGATTAATCCAAGACAATTGACAGTGCCACTGTCGTGGGATTTAGGAATGTCATTACCAGACTTGTACCAGATAACTCTCCATTTTGTACATCCGAACCAAAATCATATTAAAAACACAGGAATATATCAGTAAACAAGCAAAACAAACAATTTCATATCTTTTCAGACGCTTTCTCCTGTCTCCAGGCAATCCAACATCAATCAATCAGACATCTACTTTTTGTCAAAGTTCTTGAATTATATAACCTTCTTGTTACAGGCCGAATTACTGACACTGTTTCTAAGCACCCAGCAAATTGGTAACAACATTTAATTCCAAATAGCTTGAATTTAGATGTTGCATTCGTATATGACGTAAAAGCAGTGGGACAGCCCAGTAGGTATATAGAAATGAATTACAAGAGCGTAAACAAGACGTTGGTTGTAAATACTTGGGCTGTCAGTCCAGATTTGAGGATGTCATCGTGCGACGATGTCGTATTGGTCTTGCACGATATACACATGGATTCTTATTAAAATGCGAGGATCCCCCATTCTGTATCCCAGTCATGAAAGCATGTCTTTACTGACGATTGTTATTTTTCCATTACTGGGATCAATGTTTGAAAGTCAAAATGCCAAAGTTGTAGGAAAGTTCATTCTGATTTAATTCTTTGTTTTTAAAAGAAATAAAATTGACTGATAAATATGGATGTAAAATGTTAGAATAAATGCATGACTTTGATTGTTAGTGGCTGTACCTTCAAACGGATTGAGGTAGCGTATTGTCCCCCTGAGAAGGTATGTAAGTATGATATCATTCAAAGTACCATTCATCCACCGAGAAATCCTCTCAGAAAGCCTCAAAAGCTTAATCTGGAACAAATATGAAAAAGTAACAGAGCTCCAAAAGTATTTGATAACAAAATCGAACTTTGGATAAGATTGGATGTATCTGATAACACTCGTCATGGGACACAGAGATTGTCACAGTCAAGGAAGGGAAGGGGTAGATCTCCGATAAGACTCCCCATGAAATAGATTCTTGACACATTATACAGTGGAACTGTAGAGGACAAAACCTGAGTAATGTGGGTGATATGAACACTAAAGGCCATATAATGTGAAGATTTCCTTTCAAATATAATGTTGGTTCAAACCCAAACTGACATCCTGACACAGTAATGTATTCGTTAATTACTATCTCTAACAACCTGAGTGAATGTGACTGCTCTGCGCATGACGACATCTGTGGATGTGATCATTTTCCTTCAATACTAGGGTCTGTAAACCCATGTGATGTAATTTGTATTTGTGTCTATGGAGACGTTTAGTTCGATCGGAAGAATTCCAGTTTTTAAAGAGAGACAAAACAATTTTATAATGGAAACGTGATGACCATTAGTCCATTAATTATAACATAATAACATATGTTTATAGTTCCACATAGATGAGCTTCACCGGAAAGACTGTTCTATAATCAATAATCTAATGAGCAAAATGTTGCCCGTTTAAATATTCTCAATATGTCAATATGAAACATCAAATCATATTTTTATCAGAATGTTTTCTGCAGTGGCGCATACCAATCCTATCCATTAATCGTCATACTAAGTGATCGATACTTCCGTTAATGAGGTGCTCTGTGAATATTCTCCTCTAACTACCTGGAAACTTTGCCAGAAACGTGCAGCATGAGGATGGTTGTGTGGGAATGTGTTCAGATTGTTCTCACCATCACCATGACTTACAGCTTAGCTTCACAGTCATGTGGCATTTTGACATTTAACCATCATGGAAGTTTGGATGGACAAATGTTCAATGACACCTTCATCACTGAACGCGGTGTTTCTGACAAAGCTGCAAGCTTGGGGTGGTGTTTCCATGATCTGCAGTGCAACATGGTTCTGCGCAATCCAGCGTCTCAACTGACATCAAAAAGGACTTCAGAATTATTTAAAAATAAGCAATTTATGATAAATATGTGACTACTAGTTCCCGTCCGTACACATGGCAGGGAAAGGATACAAAAGTTGTCTGCCCTTTGACCATGTGAGCGTATGATGAGAACAAATAAGACGAAATGTGAGAATGGAGTGCAGTGCCCTTGTCGTCCTCGACGCGGGCGGAAGGTGATGGGTGTAATACCGCATACTAATTAGTTAGGCACGTGGCGGTAGCATGAAAGCGAGGTGTCCCATTGGTTGATGACCTACGCACGAACCAATGACCAAGCAACGTCTGCTTAAAATCAATTACTTAGCGCCATTCTGAACTTTCCACCTTCAAGGTAAGTCATGTTTTCATTATATTTTGTTTTATTTGAAACGGTGTGCTCTTTGTGAGATTTGTGTGAGGTGCAATGGTGCAATGGTGAATTGTTTTGCTGGTTATATTAGTAAGCAAGTCACTGATAATACCATAATACTATAAAATTTGAAAATGTTAAAATTTTAACTTTCCGATTTAGATTCTCTAACTTGTGACCCTAAGTAGTGACATAAACGGTGCGTAAAATAAAATGATAAAAGTTGAGTAAGCAAATAATAAATAAATGTTGTATCCATAATTACCCCAGTAACCTGAGGTTTAGAATGGTGTAACTCGTATTTAAACAGTGCACTAGATTGCGAATTATGATGTGGTTAGTGCCACGCGCGTTACCAAGCTTTGGGTAATGTTTGAAGTAGCAGCGATTGGCGGCGAAATGAAATTTTGTGACTCCAAACTTTTCTCGTGTTAATACCACCACTTTGAGAAGGAAATATGACGAGACTGACCCCAATACTGACCCATCCCTCTGTACAGGTATTAGCGTGATACTATGGATGCTTAGTATTAAGTGGAAGTGTGTTGTTAATGTATTGTGCAATTTTTAGACACTAGGTGTAATGGCGGATTGGCCTTCAGTTAACGATGTGAAGAGCGAGGTTTCCAATCATAAAATATGCAACTACTAGTATGTATGTATTTAGTGTAACCTTTGTGAAACTTTTGAAACACGTTTCTACATTTTGCCACGAGCATTATAATGCGCACTGCTTCGTTCCTCGGAATACTGCCTTGCATGGTGCAAGGCGAATTGCGAATTGAACTCGACTGAAAGGGGTGGCAGGTGTGTGTGCTGGTATGTTGTATGTGATTAACTTTGTAACGCAAAATCATTCGTGAAATAACTAAAAAACGTTGTTTTTTCATTAAATACGTTGTGAAAAGGTATGAATTTTTTATATAAAGCCTTAAACACCACGGACACCAGCTTAATGTTTGATGTGCCTTAGAACTCTGTCCCCCTTGCAAGCAGTAGGTGGGATGGCCTACTGAAACTTACTTACTTGGGAAGGAGTGTTGGCAGTAACGCAACAGCATTTGGAAAGAGACGGAAGTGGCAGTGTTTATTGCAAGACAGATAATTTCAAGTGACAGCGGAATATACTTGACTGAATGTTAAATATGAACCCTTCAGAATAGAAACATAATATTTTGTAAATTATCGGGGACAATTCTGTGTTACAAGTCGTCAAGGACAGTTGGGTTTTTTCTACCAGCAAGTTCGAAGGTTTGACTGCCCGTCCCGGCAGGCGACAAAGGAATTACGGTGGCGGAGGTGCCTTGTGGAATCTCGCTGTTCAAGTGTGACTTTTCTTTTGACGATTTAAGCTTTGTACTTAAAATGTTCATGTATGCAGACTTGGTGTCGTCGGTATATACGAAGAAAGGGCAAGAACTAGCCCAGACACGTCGTTATCGATTTACTATCCATTGCAAGGTATAGGTGGTAGGATGATTCAATAAAAGAAAAGCAAGAAGATTCGAGCTGGGTCAAGTTTATTAACCCCCAAACATACATAAGTAAGAATCTGTCCAGGTTAATAAACTACACAGTGACAGGAGAGACCCCCCACAAAGAGGGGTAATCCTCTGCTATGAACATAAAACTTAATTGGTACATGACAATACAAAATTGGTTAAATTGCTAAAGTATAAGAGAAGTGCTTATTAACTTGCTTGATGTCGATTAAGTGAGCGTAGGAGATAATGCAAAGCATAGCGAGCCAACAGCAACTGACCAGTAAAACTACTGGGTGTGGTGGGAGGGTACGAAACTTTGCTGCACAACACGGCTGCGGCCATGATAAAAAACATGTAAAATGCGGAATGCAACAAAAAAGGTGGATTGTGCAATAAGTGGAAAAGTTGCTGACACAAACGAACTACGTAAAATATAATTTATCACAAAATTAAAATTTTACTATCCATTGCAAGGTATAGGTGGTAGGATGATTCAATAAAAGAAAAGCAAGAAGATTCGAGCTGGGTCAAGTTTATTAACCCCCAAACATACATAAGTAAGAATCTGTCCAGGTTAATAAACTACACAGTGACAGGAGAGACCCCCCCCAACCCCATTAGGGAAGGCCCGATGAGAAAAGATGGAGAGACTGGAATCTCTGTGAAACTGTGGGGTCCAGATAACGCAAATAGGCATTACTGCGCCAAAAAACCCAACTCCTGAATGTTGGCATGAGAAAGGCCCATATGGGCTGCCCACTGGGCCCCGCCCCTGCGAAAAGAATGTCCAGTTAACTTGACAGAGGCATGGCCAGCTCTATGTAAACAAGAGTTCACAAAGTCAAGAAACACAGAATATAACAAAGGTCTGTCATATTCATCTCTCAGCAAAGCACTCTTCTGTTGCGATTTCAGCTGTAAATGAAAATAAAACAGTTTGGTCAGAGCTGTGACTGGGCACAGAACAGACTTCTCCAGTGACGGAAGCGTAACATACACTTTCTTCTGACGGAACTGAATAGTCTTTGTCCAGTGTAACGTTATAACCGCTCCTTGCGGGTGACACGACACATCCCCTACACACAACAGCTTCCCTTTGCCTGCCTCTGAAAGGGATCTGCACAGGAAATTAGCCGAACGCAATAAACCGTAAAAGGCAATCATACATCCTGCCCAAACTGAGCAGTGAAACATATTGTCCCAAGACAATGTACTATGTAGGGCCAATAACAATTCTGGGGTAACAGGCGTAGCACCATGTTGCTCCTCACCAAGCTCCCTTCTCATACCCTGCAGAACATGGTGGGGTGTCCACAATGCAAAAGGATCCCCTAAATTATGTTGCTTGTGAAGGGTTCTAACAATACATATATAACTCCGTATAGAGGCAAAACACAACCCCCTGAAATCGGCTAAATATGCAAGGTAGAGACTGGAGTGTTCACTCGACAATGGCACAGGTTCAATGTTCAATAAGTGGCAGAAATCTAGGTAGCATTGCAAATGCTGTCTGTATGTCCGTTTGGTAGATTCAGCCCATCCCTTGCTTCGGTAAGTGATCACCGACTGTTCCAACATCTCCCGCATCTCTTGTCGCCGACCACCTGGAAACGATAAACTGCATTGACATATGCTGTGAAAGCTCGGAAATACTAAAAGGCACATAACCCAAAGCATATACCGAAAGCAGATGGTAAAACTGACATAATCTTTCCGGTTCATGCAGACGAGACAAAGTATCTGCCACTACATTGTTCCTACCGGGAATATATACAGCCTTAACTAAGAAGTTGTAGCAGGCACTAAGCCAAAACAGATGACGTAAGCCTGGCATGACACCATGAATACGTGAAGAGCCCTTATTAATTGCAAACTTCGCCGCCATATTGTCAGTGAAGACTACCACAGTCTTATTTGCAAAGTGGGGGGCCCAACGATCAACCGCAGCAATAATAGACAAAGTCTCTTTCAAGTTTATGTGCGAATCTCTAACATCAGGTCTATCTTCCTGCCAGTTGATGTAGAAATAGTCCCCACAGTAATAGCCTGCACCCCCTTGGTCACAGGCATCAGTCTGCAGGGATGTGATGGGCCTATTGTCAATGAATGGTACACAACCATTGAAAACAGACATAAATGAAATCCACCAATCTATGTCCTTCTGAAAATCACATGATAGTTTGATTTTGTGTCCAGGCTTTTTCAGGGCAGTACTACAATCAATTATACGACGCAAGAAAGTTCGCCCTCCTTTAACAACTCTACATGCCCAATTCAGTTTCCCTATCAATTGCTGTAGTTCCCGCTTAGAGGCTCTTGATTTTGTGCTAAAGTTTTTGATCACATTCATGAAGTCTTGTAGTTTTGCTGTTGGTAGCGACAGGGTAAGAGCACAGGTGTCTACCAAAATGCCAAGGTAAATCAATTTTTGGGAAGGTCCAACCACTTTTTTCCAATTAATGTAAAATCCAAGCTCTCTGAGAACCCTCAATAACACATTGAGTCCTTTCAAACACATGTCAAAACTCTTTTCAATCACCAAAAAATCATCAAGGTATGATATCACAGTGAATCCATATCTACAGTGCATGATGCGGCACACTGCACTAGACAATCTTTGAAACATTTGAGGGGCCTTGGCACTGCCAAAAGGTAGACGTTTGTCATACAGGAATGTATTGTTCTTGTCACCTGAAAATTTCCAAGAGAGACCAGTCAACTTGTAGTTTGATTTATGAAGCTTAATTGATCTATACGCACTCTTCAAATCAACTTTTGCCAGATAATCACCTGGCTTTATATATTTGCAGGCATCGTCCAAATCCATGTATGAGCATGTAGTATCCTCCACATACGAGTTCAAACCTCCATTCACCGGCAGACTTGCATCGTGAATTAGACGCACAGAACCATCCTCTTTTGGTATCGCACCAAGAGCTGAAACAATTAGAGGTTTCTCAGCACAAACTCCATAATGTCCCTGTTGAATTCCAAGGATAAGCTGCTCCTCAACTTTGTCTCTGTGCTCGAAAGCCGAGCGGTGGTTATGTTGATACACAGATTTTACACTGGAAATATCCTTGTCCACTAAATTAAAACCATTACTCACACCATTCAAAATATAACACCTGTCCACATCACTCTCAGGTAGGAGCCTAAACCATGCTTCTGGCTGAAGGCACCCATGGAGATGTGCATCACTATCTACTCGTGTCTGTCTACTTTCATTCCCTCGTTTTTTGCAAACTGAGTGCTACGCTGTTGAAAGGAGTGATCTGATAGAGATCCAGTGACAGACGGTGCTGCTGAGCGATGACGTGCAGCACCATGAGAGAAAGAATAGCACAGAGCACAACTATGGACAAGCTTGCATTTCGTCTCCATACGGTTACAGTTATCCGCGTTATAACGCCGGCAGATTTCCCTTCCATCTGGCATGAATGGACCTTTGTTAGATGCATAACGTTTGTTACCAACATTCGAGTTCTGGCCTACCTCTTTCATCATGTGCATTGCAGCGCCAGTGGCACTAGTGGCTTTAGGAATCAGGTAGAAATTGCGCACGTCCGGTTGGGGAGATCCCCAAGGGAATCCCTCGGCTGCCTGCCGCTCACGATATTCTTTGTCGAATAGTAGTACACTGTGCCAGACATTATTAGAAGCCAGACGCATAATTGTTTGCATATATTTTATGTACCCGGGATGCTCTGATGAAGGCAATTCCTTCATAATTCCTAGACTGGCGAATGTCCATTGTTCCATAGAAATCTTGCCCAACGACAATTTTCGTGGTCCACCCAATCGCACTATAGCTCCACCTCCAATGTCAATTATGCTCCCTTCTTCCAAAATATCTAGGGGGTTTGTCCATATATAATCTGTTATAGTCTTAGCTTTTTTACCTCTTCCCATTAGACCGTCCACTGAGTCCTGGTGTACTGCATCCTCGTGTGCATGTTGACCGCCCTCCTGTTCAGTTCCTGATGATTTCTCTGACTCAATCTGTTTTAGTAGGTCATCTCTTTTCTTTTTCAGTTGTAGAGCCTTTAATTCCCTCTCGAGGTCATTCACCGACAATTCTAACTCCTCCAAATCCTCCCGGCCGCAAGCCGGTGATACTTTACGGTTTTTCCCGCCCAATAACTTCGGGGTCGACACCCCCGCAGCTCCACGTGGCTCGTCATCCATGTCGAAGTCATCCTCCTCCTTTAGAGCGGCCAACATGTCCCCAAGCTTACTACCCGCGTTTTGACGTCTCTCCCGCGACATCATGTAACTGTAGAGTTACAACACACCAAACACGCCGGGAATTAGTGTTACTTCCTTACGAAACTTTGCTGCACAACACGGCTGCGGCCATGATAAAAAACATGTAAAATGCGGAATGCAACAAAAAAGGTGGATTGTGCAATAAGTGGAAAAGTTGCTGACACAAACGAACTACGTAAAATATAATTTATCACAAAATTAAAATTATATTTGTCTTATTTTACTACACCAACTTCTAAATGCCTTTGAAGAATGTCGTTGCTGTATGGCTGAAATAATGCCAATATGACGTGAAACTCAACTCAACTCTTTTCATATAGCAATGGAAACAAGATATTCATTTTTAAAGTTTTGTCGACCAAGGACAACAAGACAGTGGTGCATGTCATATAACTCAAAATCGGTGACAATTTTAGTAAACCTAGGTCCAGCCAATAATTTAGTTAATAAAGATCGATAATTCACAGGTCTCCAATTATAATGGTTCTTGGGGAAGCATAAGATAAAAGGACAAACTGTGTTCCTTCGTGCAAAGGAATGATTTAACTTCCATGAAGTCATACTTCCCTTCAACCTGTCTCTGCATTTTATTTTGAAGGTTGAACTGACCTACTAGTGAGTTGAAAAGTAAATTGTCAGCCATGTAGAGACATTGGTATGTAAGACCTTCACAGATCAAATACTGTTTTCTGTATGTTTTTTTTTTCTAAGAACAACATTTCAAACAAAAAATAGAATGAATGACTCTGAAGTTGCAGGTTCGAAGAGATGGGACTCAACCCAACAAAACTACTAGAATCAGTACTTTGCTGAGAAAGTGTTATCCAAACATAACACAATTAACATGAATAATATAGTTCGCATTAATGAAAGAACCGAAGACAGCTCTTGACAATGTTTGGCGTCAATGTCAGGAAGTTCGATTATCATATCGATTCATTACAGTCTTACGTAAGCAAGTATGGTAAACAACTTGCAAGCTTCCACTCAGTAGCAGCCAGCCTGCTGGAAGAAGATGACACAAAATGCAGAACATGATTACTATTTTTATTCCTGACTCCCTGTTACAGAAACAGAGCAGACGCTCAGGGTGGTGTCTGGCCACCTACGTCGAGAAATACATCAACTCAGACTTTCTTTGAATAGACGATACAAATACTAGGACACACACACACACACACACACACACACACACACACACACACACACACACACACACACACACACACACACACACACACACACACAAAAAAAATTATACAGACACACACACACACACACACAATTTATACAGGTGGGATTACAACGAGTACACAATTTCTTTCTCATAAAATAGATCCTTAAACATTGAAAAGAAATTATAGTTTGTAGACAACAGGACACCATAAAGAACAATTCACAATTATTACCAATAATGTAGATATATATTTAAGCGTCTGGCCCCCGTTCCTCAAAGCGATCGTAGCGCTACGACAGTCGTAAGTCTATGTTAAAGTGTGGGAGTTACGACAGCCGTAAGTCTATGTTTAAGTGTGGGAGTTACGACAGTCGTAAGTCTATGTTAAAGTGTGGGAGTTACGACAGTCGTAAGTCTACAGTCGTAAGTCTATGTTAAAGTGTGGGAGTTACGGCAGTCGTAAGTCTATGTTCAAGTGTGGGAGTTACGACAGTCGTAAGTCTATGTTAAAGTGTGGGAGTTACGACAGTCGTGAGTCTATATTAAAGTGTGGGGGTTACGACAGTCGTAAGTCTATGTTAAAGTGTGGGAGTTACGACAGTCGTAAGTATATGTTAAAGTGTGGAAGTTACGACTGTCGTAGCGCTACGATGCTGAGTATTTCTTGGGTAAAAAGAAGCACATATATACAATGCAACATCTAAATAAGTCTATGTACAATATCAAATCTGTAACTGTACAATGAGTGTATTAACAATCTGTACGATCGTCGACAAGTCTAATTGTCCATCAAAGTTAACTCACAACTTCTTTAATGCCATTACAAAAAAGGAAGAAAGAAAATATTTTTCTCCGACTCCCAAGAACACATCGACATGTACACAGGCAAAGTTATGAATGGAATTCGACAGGCGGACGGACGGGCGGACGGATAGACAAACGTAGGGTTGTATCTTTCTCCGATTCCCAAGAACATATCGATATGTACACACATGCCTTTCCCACACATTCGTTTGAGAACGTGAAAAGAATGAGAAAAGTTATTAATGGAATTCTACGGACACACGGACAGACAGACCAGCAAAGAGACAGACACCGAGTTGTGAGCCGTGTTAACACGTCAGTTACATCTACGTGCTTAACTGAAAATCAATGGACCTATTACCATTTGCAATATATTATATCACATGTATATATTCCTTGATCAACATAGCAAGTAAAGACGCATGTCTTAAAATGAGCATGTAATAAATACGATGTGAATAATTTACAACATTTCCACAGACAGACAGGCAGGCAAGCAGACATACACACAGACAGACACACAGACAGACGTCGGGTTGTGTCTTTCTCCGACTCCCTAGAACACATCGATATGTACAGATATGCCTTTTGACAACGTTGAAAGAGTGAGAGAAGTTATGAATGGAATTCAACAGACAGGCAGACAGACAGACCTTGGGTTGGCAGGCGTCTTAACACGTCAGTTACATCTACGTGCGTAACTGAAAACCAATGATCAACATATGGAAGTGAGTGAGTGAGTGAGTGCGCGAATTAAGATTTTAAGTCACATCGGCAATATTTCAGCCATATCGTGACTAAATCAAGTTAAAATATATTAACAATTAAATGTAAATTATAAAATTCTGTCAATGTAGGACAGTAAAACAAGTAGATTATAACATATAAATATACAACTAGTAGTTACATCTAAAATATTTTAACTATACATGACAATACAATATAAAAACAGGCCATAGATTGCCAACAACTGAAGGTAGATCACCATACTAAGGATGATCAACATCGGATAACAAGAAAAGACGCATGTCTTAAAATGAACATGTAATACATAAAATGTGAATTATTTACAATATTTCCGATTTAAAACCAGAAAGTATAGTCTATGCATTATGTCAAATATTTAGTGAACAACTGAAATACGAGTCCCTCAGTTCATCGTATTTCTCCAGGAATGAACAAACTATGTCAAACAATTTATATAGACATCTATGGACATATCTACAGCATCTGATTATAGGCCGAGAGCTGCTACCTACAGCCGCCAAACAAAACATGCGTTGGCGTGAAAAAACTCCAGCAATTACAGAATGTGAATTGTTTTCGTTGTAAACCATTTGCAAACAGCAAATATCGCCAATGCATGATGTCAAATATTTGGTGAACGTCAGAAATGTCTGAAATCAGAATTTCTCCAGGAATGAACAAACTGTGTCAAACAATTACATAGACGAATATTTACATATCTACAACATGTTTTACACGGCAATAGTTGGTATCCATAGCTGCCGAAGGAATCATGTCTTGACATAAAATAAATATCTAGTAATTGCTGAATGTACATCATTATCAATTTCTCCCATTTGCAACCATTAAAGCTAGGCATATTTAAATAGCAAAGAGTAAAAGCAACACCTATGTACTGCAGCAGTATGTACAGTCTCAAAACGATATAGACATTTATTTACATATCTACAACATCTGATTACAATTGGTACCAATAGCTGTGGAACACCGATAAGTCAAGTGTCAAATACTTGACAATACAGTACAAGAAGGTATTTTCTTCCAAACATTCACTTAAGACAATGGGCATATTCCAGTTGCATACTGAGACGCTTTGAAAATACATACTAGATTCTTTGTATTTATTTGACAGATTGGACCTCACAAACATCAGATTGTTCAGCTTATTGAGGCATAAGATCAACAAAATCAACAATGTCGTATTACAGGTTTCATTTGAAGTGTTATCTACTGTGTACAAAATTCCTTTGCTGTTTTCTTGTTCATACTCATTGTGCAGTTTCAATATGTGTATCAGTATATTTAAGAACCTATGATGTCCAGAATGATCCTTGACATTCTTAAGTTATTAGGAAAGTCCATCGGCTGCCCACTTTTTTTTACAAATCTTTCTCATTCATTAATTTCCTGACATATTCCTCAGACATTCCACAATTGCATTACTCTGTCCTCTCTGAGCCAGAGTAAGGATGCATTCACTTGTATCTGAGAGCAAGGCAAGATCTGCATTGTGGTCCACCAACAGCTGGAAGACATCCTCATGTCCACACACAGCCGCCATCATCACCGGTGTCCAGTTATACCGACCTCGGACATTGATGTCATAGGACGGGAGCAGATACTCTGCACATTTCCTGTTGCCTCCACGACAAGCCAGATGAAGCAGACTGTCTCCAAACTGGTCTGTCTTAACAAGCTCAGGACTGTTGTCATGGCAAACTGTCAACATTTTAAAAGATCCTGTCACTACGGATCTCATCAGTGTAGTCCAGGGATTCTGCTTCTTCACATATTGTCCACCAGGTGATAATCGTTCTATGATTTGTCTACATCCTCCCTGAAGGGCGAGAGTGAACAAATTATCTCCAGTCTTATCAACCAGTGTCAGATCTGCACCTTGTAGTCTGAGGTAGTCAAACACTTCAGACTTTCCAAAGACAGCTGCTACCATTGCAGGTGTCCACCCATATACATCTCTGTCATCAATATTAAACCATGGACACACATGTTTCACCATACCAAGATGTCCACCCATACAAGCAACGTGTAGCAGACTATTCTCCATATTGTCCACCTTCTTCACGTCAGCGTTTCGGTTCTTAAGGAAGTCAACTACGGGAATTTGATCACCTCTAGCTGCCTCCAGAAGCGGTGTGCGACCGTACAAACCTCTTGTGTCAATGTCAAAATCACCAATGACATCTTCAATAATCAACATGTTACCACCTCTACAAGCTGTGTGTAGTGTTGTGTGATTATCATCACCTACACAAACACGGTTACCTCCACGTTTCAGAAGAAGTTCCCAAACATTGTGATTTCCACGGAAAGCTGCATACATCAAAGGTGTCCAACCCAGTGATCCCCGACAATTAATGTCAAACAGTGGAAGCAGATCTACTACAATGGGACTATTTCCGGTTTCACATGCCACATGAAGGATGGTGCCTTTGTTGTCATTTGTTATTGTGAGATCAGCTCCCTTTGACATGAGCAGGTCGAAAACATCCTTCTTCCCATACAAAGCTGATGTCATCACTGGTGTAAGTCCCACCTGTCCACGACAATTAATGTCGAACCGTGGAAGCAGATCTTCTACAATAGGACTATTTCCACCTTGACATGCCAGATGAAGGACGGTGTCATTGTTGTCGTCTCTTAGTTTGAGGTCAGCTCTCTTTGACACGAGCAGGTCGAAAACATCCTTCTTCCCATACAAAGCTGCTATCATCACTGGTGTAAGACCATCCGGACAATTAATGTGAAAGGGTGGCAGTGTTTTGTCCATAGCATATCTTGCATTAATGTCAGCAACTGGAAGGAAGAATTGTGAAAGTCTTACATCCCCTACCGTACAGCTGTAACACAAGGCTAAATAGGCTGCTCTCTCAAAGTCGAAGTCTCCAGTCAGAGGTTTGATACTTAGCCCTTTGGTAATGAATCCAAATATTGCCCCTCCAACTAGACTGAACCCCTTCATCCTTGCAGTTTGAAAGACATTTTCTCCAACATCATTTTTGGATTCAAAGACATCAGCTCCAATGTTAAGTAAAGCTAATGCAACGCCTTTGTAATTATTGTCTGTGGCAGTCACTAGAGCTTTGTTGAACACACTTTGATGTAGCAGTGACTTATATTTGGAAGATAACAACAACAACAACACTGCTTCGTTCCCACAGGAAGCACAGGCCTGGAAGGCTTCCTTGATCTCTTCGTCTGAAAAACGGTATCCAACATCGAGGATTTTCTCAACCAAGTACAGACTATGTGCATGAACTGCCCAGTACAGTAAGTGCTTCTCTTCTTCCTTTGCATGCAACATGGCAAGACGCTGGGTGCCTTTTGGATTCAGCAGTCTTTTTAATGCATTTGTTTTCTTCAGTTTAAGCATCTGGAAGACTTTGTCCACTATTTGCTTGTTTTTCAGAATAGGGTGTGTAACAGACATACTGTAGTTTCCTTCGGCAACAGCATCAGCGAGTCTGGAGGCAATTTTGTCATAGTGAGCTTCTGACACGTAGATGATGTGGAGGTGATTATCTATTGCAGTGGTCTGGACTTGTTGGGCCTGTACACGCTCATAAAGGAATCTGATACTGCAGTGGTTCAGAACGAAGGATGGATTCATTTTGAATAGGGCACACGCACAGGCGTCATAGATGGTGGGATGTGAAAATCCAAGGATATCCCCATCCGTAAAAAATGTACCCCTGTAAGATCTGACAGCTTTGGCAACTGTAGTCCGTGAGGTAACTGGCACCACGCTTTTTACGGCCTGCAGATGAGCTTCTAAAACATGATTTTTCGATTCCATTTCTACCTGGCTCAAGTTCAAAAGATCTTCACACACCAACATCAGGATGAGCGCAGCAGACTGGTCATTCCTACGTTCCATGATCATGTCAATTTCTTGCCGTAGATAAAATAGAGGTTCTCGGAAAAACTGTGCAGGTTCTTTCTGAAAACTCAGAAATTCACAAAACAGAGTACATATCAGGGGAAAACCAAACAAAGATTCTCTTGTGTCACAAAGCTCATCAATATCGAGGTCCAGGTCGATGTTATGGTGTTTTAGTTGTTTCTGGAGTATCTTCCTTCTTTCCTGGGGGCTGTATTGACATGATTTACTTTTTGTCAAATCGAGAAGCGATGGTCCTGTGAAAAAATAATATTCTTGGCCTTCCAGCTTTGCGACTCCACATTCCAGGTTGTAAGATTTGGTGGTGAAGATAACACGAATCGCTGATTCAGCGCCTGGATGTGTTTCCCGTTGGTTTTTCTTGCTAGATTTAGCATCTTCTAAATAATGTTTGAGGTTTTGTAGAATGGACCTAAGGTGGGGAACGTCAGTTGATAAGCCGACTGTTCCAAATATATCGTCCAGTATCAGACAAACTTTCTTTCCACGCAGGTCACAATTCCTCAGCTCGAATTTATCCACATCATCAACAACCACAAGTTCATACCCCTGGTTCCTGAGATCTGCTCCTATCATCAAGGCAATGGACGTTTTTCCTTCACCAGAAGCACCACTTATTGTTACATGACCATACTTCTCCAAGCGCCCCTTCACTGTCCTATAGTTAGCAGTTTTCACACAGACGTCTTTGACTCGCTTCAGGTTCATTTGCAGCATATCTACAAGAACAATAGCCATCATTTTTAAACTATACAACCTGCTTCATGTATTTTTTTCTAGCAAGATCTTCTTTTGCCAATAACTAAATCTGATAGATAATAAAATCCGATGTATCTTCTGGGAAGCATACACCAAGAAGACCTAGGGCATCTATCATATCAATAATGTATGCCTGACATCTCGCAGCAACAGCCCACCTGCCAACTGATCAAGTCAACTACCTGAGTTGCCCTGTCCTTTTACAGGAAAACAAGAGCATCGCGAAACTAACAGACGCCATTTTAATCTGACCGTCAACCAAGATGAGAGTTGCATAACTCAGTTATCCTACCACCACACTACAAACTAGATTTATATACAACATTGTTTTCTGCATAAAGCCTCCCTCGTTATCATCTGCCTATTATTTTTTCTGTTTAGGTATATCACCATGTGCTATGCTGTTGTAAAAGAAATGTTACATTTCGAGAACAGATAGGTTTAAATCCTTAAGTCAGCCCTTTGAGTCAGACATCTGCTAGATGCCTCAGTTTGGCTCCATAACAATTAAATGTTTCTCCAATAGAACACCATTATTACCTGACTTCATTATTCCATCATTCTGACCTCCAACAGATAAGCTGACATCAGAAGAGTCCTGTACTATGATGCCTTTGAAGTCAGACCCTGGAATAAGAGTAGAAACAGCATGTGAGTAGATTGCAATGAAACTTTCCCTAGCTTTGTCGTTGCCTTATTGAAAGTGTATAACCCTTGTAAGATAATTATGTCATTTTGGGAAGGAGACAACAATAAGAGGAACCAACGGTGCCTACTCCCTCTCACGTTTTAAATAATAAAATGTGTTTCGTAAACACATGCATTTGATATAGGTGTTTATTAAATATGGTGAACAAAACGGAGTGTTGGACTCTGATAACTCGATATCTCAGTTGTCTCGATTTTGTTTGTGATAAACATTCCACTTGCCTGCAGTGATTTTAGTAGACACCGCTTGCCTTTCTCGTCTCTCAGAAACAGCCATGGAACCACTCCCCGCACTAGCCTGACGCTCAACCACTTCTGATGATGCTACCATGTCCATGGAGAATGTCCTCTCACCTTGTGTTCCTTGGGGAACGACATCAACATCATTGTCATTACCAGGTTGTGCTCCTTCTGATGATGCCAGGTTGTTCTTTGTGAAAGTTTCATCACCATCTGTCTCACTTTCCCTGTCAGGACGTTCAGATTCTGTCTCCCTCTGATTCCTCGACATGTCTGAAAACCAATGTTAGAAACATTAACCTAATCATCAAGTGAAACTAAAATTGATAAACCAACTGTTTCATCAAGTTATGACGGACACCGTTTGGGCTGGAAGTTTGATCATAACATGTTTTGGTATCTTAGCCACAGACAGACAAACAGACAGACAGACAGACATACAGACAAATTTACACACATACATACACACAATCATACATACACATACATACATACGCACAATCATACATACACACACGCACATACATACATTATACTCGTATAGATATGCATATACAGAGATAGACAAAGAGCACGCATGATAAATATCCCCATATACATATATATCGCGTACGCTTCCATGTTACAGACCGGTGAAGATCCGGGGTAGAATAGGTCTTCAGCAACCCATGCTTGCTGTAAAAGGCGACTATGCTTGTCATAAGAGGCGACTAACGGGATCGGGTGGTCAGGCTCGCTGAATTGGTTGACACATGTCATCGGTTCCTAATGTCAAATTTTCAAGGGTTCTAAATGAATCAATAGATGGGTCCATTTTGTTGTTGATTTTAAAAGGGGGAATGTTTAATCAAAGTCCCTATGAATGTTTGCTTCTTCAAAGAAAGAGAACCACTAGATAAATTTTGAATAGCTTGCATGTGTTGTAAAGTAAGTAAAATATTATGATCTGTGGTTATTGATGGAGGTTCCATTCTGGGAGCTACAACTGTGTTAAGGTTTGGTCCCATGACAGTCTCTAGTAAGTTCATCATTGATCAACGTGAGGGTCGGTCTAAATGCTGCTGGGAAGTGACACAGGAAGGAAGGGCTCTGTAAGTCCTCATGATCCCCAGTAAGGTGGTCTCAGTTTGGTTACTGGTCTTTCATTGGTATTAATTAAGGGGGGTAATATAATTGTCACCTATTTTGAGTTATTCTAATCTATGACATACACCACAGTCTAGTTGTCCTTGGTCGACACACCTTTAAAAATGAATACCTTGTTTTCATTGCTATATGAAATGAGTTCAGTTGAGTTTTATGTCGCATCGGCATTATTGCAGCCATACAGCGACTCTTCACATGACAATGATTCTCCAAGAGTTCCTTCACATTCCTATAGGTGGCAGTTTTCACAAAGACATCTTTGACTCGTTTCAGATTCATTTGGAGCATGTCTGCGAGACAAAAGAGGCATTAAATTCCACCACATCATCTAAAAATTATTTATCCTGCTTCATCTGCAATATCGAATCAATCTCTGGTGGCCCCATTGCCACAAAAGATTTTTTCTGGCAACATCGTCTTTTGCCAATAAATAAATCTGTTACATAATAAAATCCGATGCATCTTCTGAGACGTCTACACCAAGAAGATCCAAGGGATCTATCAATAATGTATGTGTGCCATCTCGTAGCCACAGCCCACCTGCCAACTGATCCAGTCGGCGACCTGAGTCGCCCTGTCCTCTTTACAGCAAAACAAGAGCATCGTGAAACTAACAGAAGCCATTCTAATCAAAAGGTTTAAACTGACGTTCAACCAAGATGAGAGTTGCATAAACCAGTTATCCTACCACTACACTACAAGCTAGATCAATATACAACATTGTTGTCTGCATAAAACGTTCCTATTCATTACCTATATATTATTATGTGTTTATAGGTAATTTTAGGTATAAGTCTTGGTTGTAAAAGATAGGTTTAAATCCTTAAGTCAGCCCTTTGAGTCGGACATCTGCTAGATGCATCCGTTGGGCTACATAACAATTAAATGTTTCTCCAATAAAACACCATTATTACCTGACTTCATTATTCCATCATTCTGGCCTCCCACGGATAAGCTGACATCAGAACAGCCTTGTACTATGATGTCTTTAAAGTCAGATCCTGGAAAGAGAGTTGAAACAGCATGTGAGCAGATTGCAATGGAGCTTTGTAGCAACCCACTATGTAACAACAACGGACTATGTAATACAATTTTCAAAGTCCACAAACATTTTGCACTTAGGCGATTTTGTTACATAACGGGTTATTACAAACTTGGTTACACCAGTAGCAACCCACTATGTAATAACAACTCACTATGTAATAAAATCTTCAAAGTCCAAAAGACATTTCTGACTTAGGCGATTTTATTGAAAAGCGCGTTTATATTTTTGCATAAACCTGCAAAATGACTGAAACTCAAAGTTTAAACCTGTTGCATGATATGGACTGTTAACATTTCTGATAGTTAATTACAAAACGCGTTGGTATTACATACCGGGTTGAGTAGCGAAATGTAATAAGATTTTGCACATGTAATAAAACTCACAAAGTGTCAAACGTCACCCGTAAGAAGATATTCCTTCAGGTGTTTTCTGATAGTTAATTGATGGAAGCGGTTTCACTTGCCGCCCCGCCACTAAAAAATACATAGTGTTCATGTGCACACAAGTGGTGTTTATTTTTCTTTGTGGGCGTTGTTACGCCGCATAGAGCTTACGCCGTACAGAGCTTACGTGTAACCTGTATACGGTGGTTGACAACATGTAGAGCTTACGGTGATCTATATTCGTTGGTTGAAAATGCATACCAGAACGTCATACAGGGTTTACGTAACATCTAATGACGTCGTAAATGACGTCAAAGTGTATGTCATTTCAGCATAATCAGCCCTTTTCAAGTAAAGAAACATACCATATAATGTGATAGATGACGTCATAAGACGTTACGATAACGTCACATCACCTTTTGACATACTTTACACAAAACCTTAACCTTTCAGCTTCAAACTTATGTACAGGACATGATACATTTAATTCCTAACTATTACAATATTTTTCTTTATTAGTGGGACATATATTTTTGGATACACTGTACAGCTTACGTAAGCTCTATACGTTGGATATATACATACATTTTTTTAAATATGTCTTTTGTCTTAACGTATAGAGCTCACAACGTGGGTGAACAGTATCGTAGCAATAGTTAAAGAATATATAATGGTAGTTTAGTTGAGTTGTTGAGTTGAGCTTTAAGTCACATCGGCTTTTTTCCAGCCATATAGTGACGAGAACAAGTTTACATTAGTAAATGTTGTAAGTACATACTCGGAGTGAGTTTTATTTCAAAGACATTTATTTGTTACATTGTCATTCAAAAGCAGGAAAAGTCATAGCATCAAATTTATAGGCAGGCGGTTTGTCACATTTCATAGTTACAATTTATGGTTGTTACATTTCACAGTTACAATTTATGATACAGATCAACTTCCCTCAGGTAGTTCAGTATCAGATGGGCGCTCACGCGTGAGAACAGATCTTTTAGGTTTGTTGCATCATAATGTGAGTCCCTTGCAGGCGATAAGTCCACGCATTCAAGCAGAATATGCTTGACGGTGATCACCTCATCGCAAGAGACACACATGGGGGGTCCATCCCCATCCGTTTTCAGCAGATAGTCATGTGTAAATCGACTGTGGCCAATACGACATCGACATCGTCGTAAAATTACCTCATCGCGTCTTGACTGACAACCCAAGTAGGTATAACCGATTGTTGGCTTCAATTCATGGAGTTTGTTTCTTCCTGCTTGAGTGTCCCACCTTTTTTGCATCAGGTCCCGGGTATAGCTTTTGATAGTGGGTTTGAAGTCATTGTACGGGATTAGCAGTGGAGATAGGGGCTTTTCGAGAGCTGCTTTTGCTGCAGCGTCGGCCTTAGTGTTACCTGCTATGCCGACGTGACCCGGCAACCAGCAGAGGATGATGTCATATTGGCCAGTAGACACGTTTAGAAGTGCTTGAAGGCAGGATAATGAATCTGTAAATACGATGAAGTTTTTGGACTGATTTTGCTGTTGAATGTAGGTCAAAGCTGAGAAGATAGCTTTGGCTTCAGCGGTGAAAATGGAACTGTTGTCGGGGATCCTTGGATCCGTCTGTGAAAATGGATCTGTGAGTGTTATACTTCAAACGTAACTGGCTGTATTCCTGTTGGAACACCAAGGGATTTGTTTCAGACTTTTTGAGTTTTCTGAGGGTAAGATCGACCTGTGGTTTCACCATTTGCCATGGTGGTGAGGACAGAAGTCGGTATGGTGCAATGATGTCGAGATCAGTTTCAGCTGCAGTTATGTGTGGTTTGATCCTGATTCCAAGTGGTGGAACCAGGCTTGGCAGTTTAGGAAATACGTTTTCATAGAGCGGGTTGAAAACACAATTGTATGCTGGATTGGGCTCATTTGAACGTAATTTAGTGATATACTGCAGTGAGAGTTTAATGCGGCGTTGTTCAAGGGAAGGCTCATTGGCCTCTGCATATAGGCTGTCTACCGGAGAGGTCCTAAAAGCTCCCAGGCAGAGCCTTAGTCCTTGGTGGTGGATAGAGTCTAATTTTTCTAAATTGCTTTTGCAGGCTCCACAGTAGACAATGGAGCCACAATCTAGTTTACTGCGAACTAATGATCTGTACAAGTGAAGGAGGGTGGTCTGATCCCTTCCCCACTCTGTATTTGAAACTACTTTTAGCAAGTCTAGAGCCTTCAAGCACTTTGTTTTCAAATATTTTATGTGTGGTAAGAATGTGAGGTGGTGGTCGAATATGAGTCCAAGGAATTTGGCCTCTTCTACTACCTTGATGGGAGTACCATCTAAAGTTAGGTCTGGATCCTTGTGTGGTTTGTATTTACGACAAAAGTGAATACAATTCGTTTTGGATTTTGAAAACTTAAAACCATTTTCATTGGCCCATTGTTGGATTTTGTTAAGGCAGGGTTGTAGCTGCCTTTCTATTGCGTGCATGTTCTTACCACGACATGAAATATTGAAGTCATCCATGAAAAGGGACCCATCAACGCAACTGTTCAGAACGTTAGTGAGGCTGTTAATTTTGATGCTAAAAAGTGTGACGGACAGGATGCTGCCTTGGGGGACGCCCTGATCTTGGTGGAAATAGTCAGACAGTGTGGAACCCACCCGAACTTGAAATTGTCTGTTATTTAAAAACCGAGATATGAATTGAGGTAATCTAC